GTTTGGGGTTTAGGGTTTGGGGTTTGGAGGTTTGGTGTGTGTGTGGTTTAGTACCAGCATGGGCGATTCGGCCCTATAATCCCCATAATCAACCCTAAGGAGCTACAGGGTATAGCAGCACGTCCTGCTAGGGTTTGGGGTTCAGGGTTCAGGGTTTAGGGTTTAGGGTTTAGGGTGGTTTGGGGTTTGGGGTTTGGGGTTTGGGGTTTGGGGTTTGGGGTTTGGGGTTTGGGGTTTGGGGCTTGCACGGTTCCGGGCTTTAATGAACAGGGTCTTTTGGGGCTTAAAGGTTCAAGGGTTTGAAAGGTGACGGAGGGCCAATGGCGTCCCTAGTGAAGATGAACTCGCAAAGTTTATCCTATAGAATCCATCTTGGAAGCCTACAGTGTAAGTCCTAAACCCTAAACCCTTAATCCTAAACCCTAAACCCTAAACCCTTAATCCTAAACCCTAAACCCTTAATCCTAAACCCCCCAGCCCTTAGTCTCGAGGGTTTCACCGGCCCAGCCAAACACTGAAGCAAGACCCTGTAGAGCCCCCCGGGATCCCCAAGACAAAGCCCCCCTCGACGGGAATCCCCAGAATTCAGAGTTTAGGGTTCGGGTTTAAGGTCTGGGTTTAGGGTTTAGGGTTAGGGTTTAGGGTTTAGGGTTTAGGGTTTAGGGTTTAGGGTTTAGGGTTTAGGGTTTAGGGTTTAGGGTTTAGGGTTTAGGGTTTAGGGTTTAGGGTTTAGTGTTTAGGGCCTAGATAGATAGATTCAAGGCGCAGGCCCCCACAAAACCCCTACTGCCCGAGGACTACCCGCTGCTGGAGACCGACCTGGACCCTGTTGGGGGGGGGGAGGGGGGAGAAGGGCCCCCTTGGGTGTTTTGGGTTTAGGGTTAGGGTCGAGGGTTTAGGGTTTAGGGGTTTAGGTGTTTAGGGGTTTAAGGGTTTCGGGCTTTTTCGGGGTTTAGGGTTTAGGGGTTTAAAGCAGCAAGGGCTTTGAGAGCTCGTGGCCTCGAGGTTTGAGGATTTCAGGGCTTGGGGCCTCCGCGATTGGCGGCTCAGGAGGATTTAAGGTTTTGGGGCTGGCATAGAAGCCCTAAGCTATCCAGCAGGCCAAGACCCAAATCAAACCCCACTTCTGAAATCCTTTAAAACCCTTAAACCCTATATCCTGATAAGCTAGAGCCTTTAGAACCCGAAACACAGCCATTCGCCTGGGAACAGGACACCGGTTTGCCTGGCGCTGAAAGGGATTTGGCTTGTTCTCGTGCACGTTCAGCCCCGGTCCCTTTCAGACAAACAACGGTCCTGTGTAGGGCCTCCTTAGGGTGTAGGGTTTAAGGTTTAGGGTTTAGGGTTGGGGTTTAGGGTTTAGGGTTTAGGGCTTGGTTTAGGGTTTAGGGTTTGGGCTTTGGGGTTTGGGGTTTGGGGTTGGGGTTTGGGGGTTAGGGTTTAGCTTCTGCTAAGAGTGGACCCTTCTATTAAGCGTTCCCTGTGGCCACCCCCAAGTGCCAAACTGCCGGAGTGCAACTGAAGTACCCTGTGGGGGTGACTACTAGGAGGATTAGGGTTTAGGGTTTAGGGTTTAGGGTCTTGCAAGTAGAAGTTCCTTCTCGAAACCCCAACTCTGAGCCCAGAAGGCGGACTTCCACGAATCCCAGAACCCCTGAAACTGTTGCATCCCCAAGTCTTCAAGCCCCAAACCCTAAACCCTAAACCCCAAACCCTAAACCCTAAACCCTAAATTCTGTCCCAGGGCCGGCCTGAAGGGCTGGATCATGAAGAATGCCGTGGCCTCGGCGTAGAGTTCAGGGGCTTCGAAGAAGTGTTAGGGCTTCGGGTTTGGGGGTTTTCGAGTTATAGTTTGGGGCTTAGGCCCTGAACCTAAACCCTAAACCCTAAACCCTAAACTCGGGTTTAGGGTTTCAGGGCTTAGTTAGGGCTCAGGGCTTTGAAGGGTGCAGGCTTCCGAGGGTTAAAGCCTTTGAAGGGTTGTGGGCTTGGGTCTGTGAAGAGCTTCTTCGGGTTTTAAAGGATTTAAGGACTTCAATAGGGTTCACGGTTTGGGGTTTAGGGTTTCGGGTTTAGGGTTTGGGGTTTAGTGTTTGGGGCTTAGGGTGACTCTATGAACGGCCTTCGAAGGTTTAGGGCTTTGAAGGGTGTTTAAGGGCTGTAGGTGGTTTGGGGTGCTTTTGGGTTTATGGGTTTAGCAGCATTTAACAGGTTTGGGGTTTTAGTGTGCAGGGTTTACTTTCGATCATAAAGGATTTTGTGGCCTCGGGGGCTTTTGGTTCGGGTTCAGGGCTGAGGGATTGGGGTGATGTGGGGTCGTTTTAAAACATTTAGCAGACCTATCATGTGCCCCCCCCCCCCCCCCCCCCCCCCCCCCCCCCCCCCCCCCCCCCACCCCCCCCCCCCCCCCCCCCCCCACCCCCAAACCCTTAATCCTAAACCCTTAATCCTAAACCCTAAACCCTAAACCGTATTATGTAGAGTCGGGCAGTCGAAACTGTGTAGGTTCGGGCCTTCAAAGCTGTGCATACAAGGAACCGCTACGCCCTTGGGACATTGTACATTTTCCCTTGTTGGTTTTTAGACACTGCGGTGCTTTACTGTAATTTTGGATCCTTAGTATTTTTGGGTTTATTGGGTTCCTAGTAAGGCAGCTAAAGATGTAACTTATAGCTACCCTCCTAAGTGCAGCCAAGAAGAGGATTACATTCAGGAATAGTTTTGCAGCGGGTTTTCAGTGCCTTCCCAGAGGAGCCACGTTCCATAAATTGAGATGAAGAAGTCATACTCGAACATGCCGATTGCAGCCTACGCAAAATGCAACAGTTTTGACTGATGGATAGCTCCACGTCGCCTTCACAAGACAAGAGTCCCCTAAACCCTAAGCCCTAAGCCCTAAGCCCTAAGCCCTAAACCCTAAACCCTAAACCCTAAACCCTAAACCTGCCGCGCCGAGACTTACGAGTTCTACCTGTCAAAGTTCCGGCTCGCGGCGAATTATGTTCGCCGACAGGCCAATGTCAACAGGCCGGGGGCTCATTCGACTTAGGGTTTAGGGTTTAGGGTTTAGGGTTTAGGGTTTAGGGTTTAGGGTTTAGGGTTTAGGGGCTTTGGGATTGGGGCTTCAGGGCCCAGGGTATCCGTAAGCTCTCCTCGCTTCAGTTGGTTATAGTTTGTTGCCTTGCTAAGTGGCCAGAATTGCTCTGCACCCCTAAGCCCTAAACCCTAAACCCTAAACCCTAAACCCTTGACATTCTGTAATCCATTGCAAGCCTTGTAAGCCCCAATGAGCCGGATCCTTCTACGCCGCCGAAGAACCGGGAACCTGGGGTTTGGGGTTTAGGGTTTAGGGTTTGGGGTTTTAGCGTTGAGGGTTTAGGGTTTAGGGTCTAGGGTTTAGGGTTTAGGGTTTAGGGTTTAGGGCTCGGGCAGCGAGAGCTCACGGAACATCGCTCGTCAGGATTGGCATCGTCGGGCTTGGCTGGGGCTCCTGGCTGGCTTGCTACGGCAACTTTCCTGCAACTCATCTTCGGGTCTAGGGTTTAAGGTTTGGGGTTTAGGGTTTAGGGTTTAGGGCAAGACCTTTCTTGGGGACAGCTTTCAACTTGGGTCGGTTCGATTTGCAAGAGACCCTAAACCCTAAACCCTAAACCCTAAACCCTAAACCCCACAGGAAGTCCGCTGTGCAGTCTGTGAAGGGACTTCTGCGAACACTTGAGGATTCGTGCTTAGGAGCCTATTAACGTTTAAGCCAGGGGAGTGCCTGGACGTGATTCGGCTCCGGATTGGCCACCCTATATTCCCTTGGTAGCCTGTTTAGGGTTTAGGGTTTAGGGTTTAGGGCTTAGGGTTTAGGGTTTAGGGTTTAGGGTTTAGGGTTAGGCAACCCAAAACAGGGTGCCCTTAGTATAACATGGTTGCCGGGCTACCAAGGACCCGAACTCTAACTGCAACACGAACACCTATTTTTTTCTTGGAAGCTGCTTGCAGCATGAGCTACAAAGTATGCTTGGAGTTCTTACCGCCGACCTCCAACTTACCCGGCTTTTCTGCCTTTCATTTTGAAGGCCACTGGCCGCTGTGATGGGTAGTTTGGGGCACACCTCGAAAACTTTCATCAGAACTTAAACTGTGCGAGTGGAGGAAAAGAGCAGTCTGGCACTTGAGGGGGGGCCGGCAACTCAGTTAGAAGCCCTATAAGGCTTTCCTAAACACTCCCAAGGGGCGCTGCGGCGTAAACCCTTGAACCCTAAACCCTAAACCCTATAGACCAGAAACTTGAGCCCTCAGTGTTTTTTTGCCACCAGGTGCTGAGTACCTGGGCGCTGAGTTCGCTTGTGGTGTGCCGGGGTCTTAACATGGCTCAGGCTGAAGCTTTCGAATAGGCTTTCTTCTAAAATCCTATGGGCACTTCCCAAGATAGGGGGCATCCCTACTATTCCCACCTTAAATGCTAGAAGTCCTGTTTCTAGGAATACCATCCTTGAAAGGGTAGGCCTATCTTGGAAAAACCCAGTTTAGGGATTCAGGGCTTCAGGGCTTCAGGGTCGTTTAAAGGCTCTGGGGTTTTAGGGTTTTTGGGGTTTAGGGCGCAAGGGTTAAGGGCTTCAAGACAAGCACAAAGCACTGAACGCAAACCGAAAGCTCTGAAGAACTAGAGCGCTAATAGCCCTGACACCTTAGCCCTGCGAGCCCTCCACCCTAAACCCCCTATACCCGATATATCCCTAAACCCTATATCCCTAAACCCTAAACCCTAAACCCTAAACCACCAAGCCGCAGAAGCCCGATGCCTCCTCCCTGAAGTCATGGACTCCTGGAGCTCAGCGCTTGAAAAGTGCGGGGTTTAGGGTGTTGGGGTTTAGGGTTTAGGGTTTGGGGTTTAGGGTTTAGGGTTTAGGGTTAGGGTTTAGGGAGTGGCGGGGGGGGGGGGGGGAGTGTACTCTGATTACAAGAACCTGGTAGCTGTTGTCACCGCAAAACTCTCAGCAGTTGCCAGGATGGCAACCCCTCTGCTGCATCGCCTGGGTATATGGGACGGCGTCAGCCCAGAGCGTCTGCTCGCGCGGGGGGCCTGGGTTAGTGTTTAGGCTTTAGGGTTTAGGGTTTAGGGTTTAGGGTTTAGGGTTTAGGGTTTAGGGTAGTGATTCAAAGCTTCTCGTGGACAGTAGTCCTTGGCAGCGCAGTGGTACCCTTAACCGTTTTTGGGGGTCTGGGTTCCCTTATAAAGGAACTACCAACCCCAAAAAAGGGTACCCTAAAAAGTATATGGCTACTGGGCTACTGGGAGTCTGCGCTCGGAAGAGGCAAATGGTCTGCGGCGCTATTCTGCGTACCTCCGAGATTTTAAGTCGTATTTCAAAGTGATAAACCTGGCTCATGTACTCTTGTCGCCTAAGGATTTGTTCTTCATGTCTTCTTCGTTTCTATCAAGCCCAAGGGAGTATCAACAAGTATGTGTTTGGCCCTAAGCGGCACAGAGGTTAAGGTGCAACCAGTAGCCCTAAACCCTAAACCCTAAGCCCTAAACCCTAAATACCCTGAGCTCCGCAGTGAGGAAGTGCGATGCTCCTGCCGTGCACTCAGATGTCACGTCCCAGGTGATCGCGTATGTTCAGGGCGAAGTCTCCCCTGAACCCTAAACCCTAAAGCTGAAACCCTAAAACCTAAATCCTAAACCCTAAACCCCAAATCCTAAACCCTAAACCCTAAACCCTAAAGCGATTCCGATGTACGTCTGAACCCTTTGAAGAAGCTCTGCGTCTTGGAACAAGACCTCCTTCCTGTTTTATTGTGGGTTACCCAAAGAATCCTATAAGGGGCTTGTGGGTTCTTTAGATGGAGTTCAGGGTTTAGGGCTTTGTACGGTTTAGGGCTGAGGGGTTTTGGGTTGAGGGCTTTATAGGGCTTATTCACTCCTGAAGCAGCAGGTGGTTTTCCTCGTTTCTGCCGATGAACCAGAGGATTACGAGAGCGGAGGACGCGGAGACATGCACAAAGAGCCCGAAGACCCCTTAAGAAGATTCCCTATTGCAACCCTAGTACCTATAAGGGTAGCTACATGGTACCCCTTAATTTTCCCCTTGCCTTCTTTAAAGGGTTCTGAAGTATGGGCCCTTGGGTTCTAAGGGGTCCCCTGTTTACAGGGAGTAGCTACCCTGAGACTAAACCCCCGTCATGAGTTTACAGGCCTGCTTTAAAAGAGTTGACGGAAACAAGTTGCAACTGAACTGATGGCCGACCCCCCCCAACGATGGGGGTTGACTTAAATTATGGTTGCGTTTGGGGTCTGTCTCTGTCTTTCTCCCTGGCATTATGTCATTATTTTTTCGTGGTTTTTCGTTTCTGTCCTCAAGATCATTGTTGTCACTCCCGCTCTCTCTCTCTCTACATATATGTATATACGAAGACTACACATCCGTTGCTGTCTCATCGTTTCCAACAGCGCAGACTCTCAGGTTTCAGTACCGGAAGCTAAGCACCAGCAAGGGCCCGCATTTTGGGGTTTTGAGGTACCCGGTTGGGGGATCCGGGCCCTAAACCCTAAACCCTGAACCCTAAACCCTAAACCTTAAATATATAAGGGGTTTGGGAATTGCCCGTTTCCTGCCCATACATACTCCCAAGCAGAGGATCATACTTTCAGGTGAACTCGGAGAAGTTCCGCAGGCCAAACAACTCGGTTGCTTCGGAATTTAGGCACCCGGTTAGGGTTTAGGGTTTAGGGTACCCCCCCCCCCCCCCAGCCATGCCAAAAAGGGGCTTTCATGTACCTGGGTCCTGCACCCCAAAACACACTGACGAAGGCCGCTCCGCACCTGATTCCCCAATTTGTACGAGAAGTGGTGTCAAGGCACTCGAGACCCTAAACCCTAAACCCTAAACCCTCAACCCGCAACCCTAAACCCTAAACACTGAAACCGAAACCTTAAACCCTAAGCCACAGGCTTAAAGTTTAAGGACTCGACGTTGGCACGTAGCCACGGCTGTCTGCGTTGGGGACTTTTCTGTTGGCTCTGCAGTTGGGGCAGGTAGGGGTTCATCCTGACATAAACCTTGGGCGAATAGTCCCCCCAAGATCGGGTTCATCCTGCAATAACCTATATATATATATCACCCTTAGCACGGGGATGTTTACCCAATAGACAAGGTTTTCTGTCTCCCCTTGCCTGTAGGGAGAGTTTTACATTCTACAACCAGGGCTTCAGTCAGTTTGTAGGCTGTCGGTTTTTGCGCTTTCCATGGTGGAGGCTGCACCGGAAGCCTCAACGCTAAACCCTAAACCCTAAAAGCAGCACCCTCTCCATCGCTGGTCTAGGGTTCGGGGCTGTAAGCCCTAGAAAGCCAAAAGCCCATAGCATTGAGGGGGGGGGGGGGGGGGGGGGGAAACCCTAAACCCTACACCCTAAACCCTAAACCTTAACCCCCTTTTTGGAAGGTCAACAGAGTGTGCGCCCTTCAAGACCATGCGGAGCGGCTTCGCTCGATACTGAGCTGCCTTGGAGCCTGCGAAGCAAGGAGCTCGTGCAGTTGCAAAGCCCTTCAAGGGGTTCAGAGGGGGTTTAGGGTTTAGGGTTTAGGGCTTAGGGTCTAGGGTTTCGGTTTAGGGTTTAGCCCTAAACCCTATACAAACCCAAAAGCTGAACCCTATCGTGTGTAAGCGGTTTCGGTTTTAGGTTCAGCGACCCGGATCTGAAGCGCTTCTTACCCACAACTTGAAATTACGTCCCTGGAAATCTGGAAACGGGGCAACACCCTGTGAACACCGGGGTTCCGTGTCTCAAGCCTCCGCAGTGCTGCTAGGGTTGTAGCTAAAGGTAGGGGGGCTCTCATATCGTCGTGGGCCATGGGGTGCTTCTAGCACCCAGGACACCCGCAAACCCTTCCACTGGCTTCAATTTCATTCATATCCGAGAAGTTTGTGGGCTTTGCATGTTGCCCCTCGCACTCGCGTGGCTGGCTACTATCACGTGCTCGAAAGGACAGGTGATCGTGACTGGGGCAAGCTTCAGCAATTACTGAAGAGAGCGGATCTGCTGGAAATAGCGCAGCGTGTCGCAACGGCCACTACCCCAGGTACATCCATCCGAACTACAACCCACATTGGGAGGATCCCGACATCAACGACTCGGCCTTTACACGCGAGTCAACAGCCAGACGTGTCTTGTCTATGACAAGTCGACTCTGCCGATGAATCATGAGAGCATTGCGTAGCTTCTCAGGTACATCGTTAGGCTGGTGCTCCAGATCTGGCTGGGAAGTCTGCGCAAATCGAAATCGATTATGCTTCTTGACTGTTTTAGTACACAGAGTGCGTCAGAGACGGTTAGCAGCGCTACGTTCGACAATCCGGAACGGCTGCTGCAGGGGATGACTTGGTCAAGAACATCTTTCAGCGCAAGTGCACAACCGCGCGCTCAGGGGTCTCCGAGGCCTGGCAGTGTTGTAGATCCGCGCTCCCATTGCTACTGCACCTCACTCGTATCTGCAGCTGCCAGGACACGACAAATTGGCGCATTGTTTCCAGAGCTAGCTGGTACAAAGGCTTTGGGCGAGGAGGAACGCTGCTATTCTTTTAAAGTTAAGCGAAACACATGGACCAGTCGCAGCGCCATGTTGCGCGTGTCAGGCCGCGACTCCTTCAAAACTCGCGCAGGCATCGCCAGACCGACCACTTGGACCCAAAATAGAACACTGTGGATCTCAAACCAAATTTGCAGACTCATCTATGCACGTAGGTCGTCGTTTGTCCGCATACGACCTTGGAACAGTCTTGCGTGCTGGCGCAGTAGAGATCTTCATATGACTGTAGCGCTCGAACCTGCTCATTCATGCAACAGGTTCCCTGTTGCAGAAAGCCAATGAGAACAATACGCGAGGACCTTTGTCATGCAATGAAACAGCTTACTTTCTCGACAGCAATCACTTCTTGGGACAGGTGCCATGGCTGCAAATACCGCGACGTAGGTCTCGTGAGTTGCCTCCGGGCACACGGGTTCAAAATCGCGTACGAGCGGCACGGCCCGCTACTCGCACTCGTCGACGGCTGAAGCCGTTCGGGAACCTCAGCTTCCTTAAATCCGGTCTAGTAAGCCGCGTTTTCAGTAGATGTACTCTCTGAGGAAAGCTTTGCGGCCGGTACAGCGACATGATGTACGTCACGGAAGCTATATCATGTGCTACGGCAGTCACTTCTTCCCGGTGCGTTTGGACGCTGACGGCTGGAGTGTAAACTTCACGCATCGTCGGCACCTCTGGCAGCGTGCAACAGCATGCGCCGACCTGGAGGCTTCCAAGACTCCCCTAGCGTAAAAAAAAACAAGAAGCTTGGAGCAGGTCGCTTCATGGACATCGCCCTCATCGGGTGAACATTTCATCAACATCCACAAGTGCGAGAGATTGCACAGCATCGAGGACGTTGACCGCCCCATCAGGATGTGCCCAAACGTCAGAAATACGTCTGCAGGACGCAAGCCTCACGCACGATGGCGAGAGCTCGAACAAGTCCATGGATGCTCTCGGGTCTGGTCTGGAGTGACTAAACTGCATGTCATCAAGGACTTTTGCGTTCAAATGATACTTGACTTTCTGAGAGCGCGAAGCACGTGACGTGTCATGCAGTGAGCAAGCGAAGGCCCTGGATGAAGGCCATGCTGCGCGCGGATCTACGCACACACGGCGGAGAAATTGTTCCCCGAACACGAGCAGTTCGAACGCTTCGGGATGTTTTTGATTTGCCTGGTTTTCGAGAGGCAGCGGCGGAAGTCCTTGCAGTTTCATGAACATGAGTCGGCCTACAGTGATCCGTATTAAACAGATACGTGGAAAAGGCGTACTTCAATTCGTCGACATCGTCCGAGACGACGACCGCACAACCTGACAAAGCCCCAAAACCCTGAACCAACAGTAAGCCCTAAACCCTAGAGTCATCAACTCTATGCCTGAAACCTTAAACCCTTAACCCTAAACCCTAAACCCTCAAGCCTCAACCCTCAACTTTAAGCCTGAAACTCTAAGCCTACACCCCAAGGCTGAGGGGTGTGCTAGGAAGTCTAGAGACCTTGGGGTTTAGGGTAGTTTAGGGCTTCGGGTTTAGAGTTTAGGGTTGAGGTACAGCTTCCATATCAGTACAGTTTTTTGGGTTCTGCTCCCACACCTCGGCAAGGAGTTCCCTAAACCCACCCGCTATATACCCCCTAAATACCCTATAAAGCCCACGGGCCATACTCCAGAACCCTGTTTAAAGACGGCACGGAGAATATAAGGGACCATGTAACTTCAAGTAACTTCCCTAGAGGGTTACTTATAGCCACAATTGTAAGTCTGCTCATAACCTACTTAGGGGACTTCGGGGGCTTATCAGTACACTAATTGGGGTTGCATAAGTATGGACCTCCAAGTAGGGTTCAGGGTTCAGGGTTTACGCTTTAAGGAGCAAAGCTTCTCGCAAACCTAACCCCTAAACACTAGAAATCCCTAAGCCCGACCCCCCTAAACCCTCAAACCCCAAAACACCGAAACCACACACCCTGAACCCTAAGGCCTAAGAAATCAGGGAGGGTTTCAAGCCCTAAACCTTCTACTGGCTCAGCACTAAACCCTAAACCCTAAACCCAAGAAGCGCAGCCTGGACAGAACAGGAAACGCTTTGGAGGTCGGTTGCCGATGTGGCACCCTCAAATGCTATAAGGCTGAAAGTATCCTGAGTTAGGAACCTTCTTCAACAGGGGAACCCCCAATTACCCTAAACCCCAAACCCTAAACCGTAAGCCCAAAACCCTGAACCCTAATCCCTAAGCCCTATAAGCCCTAAACCCTAAACCGTAAACCCTTTCCTTATATATTCCCTAAACACTCAACGCTAAGCTCTAAACCCTAACTCCTTTCCTAAACACTCAACACTAAACCCTGAACCCGAAAGCCTAAACCCTAGACCCGTTCCTTATACTCCCTAAACCCTAGACCCTGAAACCCTGTCCTTATACTCCCTAAACACTCAACACTAAACCCAACACTCAGGTGACGCAAGGTAACTTCGAGGATCCTGCCTCGCGCAAGGCCGGGCTTCGGGGACGGGGTTGAGGTCTAGCTTTAGGAGCTTGGGGGGTTTAGGGTTTAGGGTTTAGGGTTTGGGGTTTGGGGTTTAGGGTTTAGGGTTTAGGGTTTAGGATGTACTGTTTAGGGCTTAGGGTGTAGGATCAAGGGCTTTGGGGGTCTATTCGGGAGTTTAGGGTGCAAGCATTGAGGCGCTATTGGGGGCATCCGAGGGCTTAGGGGCTTCAGGGGGCTTTAGGGCTTCAGGGCTCAACGGCTCTAGGTAGGGTTTAGGATCCTTTTTCAAAGTAACAGCAATGTCGTCAATAGTTCTAGAATACAAACATATATATATATATATACATGTGTATACCTGTTGCAAAATGATTTATGTGTGTCTATGTATATATATATAGATGCAGATAAAGGTATAGATATAGATATCTCATTCGAGGCGCATAGGGGTTTTGATTACGTACGGCTCATGGAGACCGGTAGTGAGACAGCCGCCCCCCCCAAAGCTCACCCAGGAGATCGTCCGTGCCGTCCAGCCGGCATGTTTGTTTGTGTATCTTGTTTTTGTTTTTACTGTTTTTTTTTGTGGCTTTTATGGCTTAGGGCTTAGGGTTCATAGTGTCCCAGAAATTCCTTGAGCCCTGAGCTCGAACCCGGCGCATCACCCGAACCCCTCATATGTTCGGCTTTTGCAGCGAACCTGATGATGTATTTCAAGGCATGCAGAATAAAAAAGGAAGCTTAGGAACCACCAGTGTCGATCCCTTGACGAGGGTTTAGGGTTTAGGGTTTAGGGTTTAGGGTTTAGGGTTTAGGTTTTCGGGTTTAGGGTTTAGGGTTTAGGGTTTAGGGTTTAGGAATTGTTCCGGCAGTGTTCGCAGGTGGGGTCTAGAGTGTAAGGTTTCCCTCTTTTAACCTCAGCATCTCGAATTACAACTGTCTTCAAGCAGCAGCATTCAAGCCAACCGAAGACACATGGAGTTCCTCAATGTTCCAAAAACCATGGGTCCCCCTTTCATCATCCACAGCTACGGCACAGCGCACTTCAAAAGGGGCCCATCATCATAATTTTCGGAAACCTGCCTTAGAAGCGGCTTCTTTGCTGCTTCTGTAAGTATGTATGATGTAACCGCGCACTTCATCCACAAATGTGTTCCTCCGAAAGTTAGAGTTCAGGATTTAGGTTCCTTTGTTTAGGAGGTTAAGGGCATGAAAGGGGCTCCCAGAAGTTATCTATAGGCAGCCCCCCCCCCTTTTCTCCCTCCGTACCCTCAACACCTCTACTTCTGGTCCACAAGCCTGCAACCCTAAACCCTATAAACCCTATAATCCGTTCCCCCTAATATTAATACCCCTAATGTAAAAATCCCCCCGGCCCCAAATACCGATCCCGGGTCTGTCCCTATTAAAACCTCTACAGAGTTAGGGGGGGGATTAGGGGGGGGGAGGCCCTAAACCCTAAACCCTAAACCCTAACCCTAAACCCTAAAACCCTCGACCCTAAGCCTAACACAAGGCTGCAAGGCTCTGACTGTTTTTGCCGGACTGTCTGTTCCGTGCTTGTCTGCCTGGCTTTCAGTCAGGCCTGCGCTGGGCGGCCTGACTGTTAGCCTTGTCTGAACAGCTAAGGGGTGGGTGTCTGAAAGCTGGAGGGGCGCTTCAGACCCCTCTCTCTGCTCAGCTCAGGAGTCTCAAGCTCCTGTGAGGGCTGCGACCTCACTGCTGGGCTGATGTGAGGTTTCTTGCGAGGCTGCGAACTCTGTCTTGCTGAAGGCTGCGAGCTGTCTGCAAGACTCTCTCTCTCGAGACCGGGCACCTCTCTCTTGCGAGGCTGCGAACTCTGTGTTTGCGAAGGCTGCGAGCTCTCCTCTGCAGGACTCTCTCTCTCCAAGTCTGCCACCTCTGTGCCTTCTGCCCCCAGCCTGGCAGCAAGCTCTCTTCTTGTGACCAGAGCTGTCAGCAACTCGGTCTGCTTCACCAAGGCCTCGACGAGGGCGTCCTGGCTGCTTTCGGGCTAATTAGTTAGGTTGCCTCTGACTCAGACAGTGTGAGCCTCGTTGTCTGCAACCTCGGTCTGGTCGCTGGCCATGCTGCAGACAGCCTCTCAGTGCAGCTGGTCTCCTACCTTGCTTGAACTGTCATTCACTGAAACACGTCTGATCTCTCTCTGGCCTGGGTCTGCAGACAGGCTGGGTCAGGCTTAAGCCCAGGCTTGGCTGCTGAGCCAGCATGCTACAATAAGGACGGGCTGGTTTCTCGGACAAACGATAAGAACCCTCCCTGATATTAAAAACCCTTCGGGGGTTTTTATACAAGGGGGGGGGGGGCCTTTTATATTAGGGGGAACGGATTAAGCCATAAACCCTATAAACCCCATGAACCCTGTAAACCCTATAAACCCTTAAAACCCTATAAACCCTATAGACCCCCTAAGCCCTATAAACCCTATAAACCCTATAAACCCTATAAACCCTATAAACCCTTTAAACCCTTTATAAACCCTATAAACCCTGTAAACCCTAAACCCGCCACTGCGAAGTTGCCAGTTTGAAAAAACGGCCGCCTTCCTGCGCAAGTTCCTGTGGCCCTTCCCGCCGGGAGCTGAGCGAGAACCGATGAGCTAGGAGGGTTAGGGTTTAGGGTTTAGGGTTTAGGGTTTAGGGTTTAGGGTTTAGGGTTTAGGGTTTAGGGTTTAGGGTTTAGGGTTTAGGGTTTAGGGTTTTTTCTAGGGCTTAGAGTAGCTTAGGCATGGCTTCGGGGGGAGGATACGTGAGGATCTTGACACGGTCTTCTCTGTCACGTGACGGTTTCACCCCATTTGGCTGTCCACTGAACTGCGAGGCATTCCTAAGCCCATGTAAACCTTAAACCCTAAACCCTAAACCCTAAACCCGAAACCCGGGCTCTGGATGACTTGACAAGGTTTGGAGCCCTAAACTCTGAACCCTAGACCTTCAACTCTAAACCCTACTCTGTCATTGGGCAGCAAAGGCTTAAGGGTAGAGTTTGCCCATGACGGGAATGCCACCACATGTTCTGCTGCCTCTTTCCCTGAAACAAAAACAAACCTACCCCGGCTGTGTTGCCGACTGAGGCTTGGCGGCGGGTATGCTTATCTGAGGCCCGCTTAGTTTAGGGACTATAGGGATTAGGGTTTAGGGTTTAGGTTTAAAGTTCATGGATCAGGGTTTCGGGTTTAGGGCTTTCATCTGGCAAAACAATCCCCAAACCCGCAACCCTTTAACCTGAGCTCCTAAACCCTAAACTCTAAACCCTAAACCCTAAACCCTAAACCCTAAACCCTAAACCCTAAACCCTAAACCCTAAGCTTACTGATCTTCGGTACTTGTGGGGACCTTGTGTTTGCCCGACTCAGGTTGGAAACAGGGTTTAGGGCCTAGGGTTTAGAGTTTAGGGTTTTGGGTATTAGGGTTTAGGGTTTTGGGTTTTGGGTTTAGGGTTTAGGGTTTAGGCGGTTTAAGGTTTTGGGGTTAATGTATAAAATTTCGCGTCCGCGACCGGGAGGTTTTGTTATTTGCTGCGCAAGCCTCAGCCCGAAGCCCGAAGTTGGTTGATGTGAAGCTTCCTTGTCGCAGGAGTTTCGAGAAACGAGTGTAAGTCGCAGAAAGTTTTGGTTTCTTAGGGGACTGTGATGATTCTAGGCCCTAGGTTTTTGGCCAAGAACTCGTTGCATGTGCACAGAACCACAGGTTGAATGGTGTCTTGCCCTATGCCAGGTACAGCCCTAATTCGGCCATTGTAAGTTAGACCAAGCAATTCAGAAGCCCTAGCGCGCAAAAAAAAACAAGCAAAGATCACGTTAAACGGCGGTTGGGAAGGGCGGAAGGAGACCTGTCCTGCTTGTGCTCTCGGCCGCATGCCGAGTCGAATTTTAGATTTTTAGGGCTTAGGGGCCTGCATCCGTAAAAAAGAACTCGTGCTTGTCAGATGAGTTTTTCACGATGCAATGTGCTGTCCTCATTCCCTGGTTAGCAGCCAGGCCACGTGTTCACGAGCATTATTGCCCAAAACACTTCTTGTGCGCCTGTGACCTAATGATTCCCACCCTGAACCCCCTGATTCTCTGCGAGGTTAACCAGTCAGACTTACTACTTCCTGGTAGGAAATCAGGAGGAACTCGGTGCCCTGTTTGTCAATCCTTAAAGCGTACCTACATATGGTAACCGAAAACCTAAACCGTTTAACCAGGGTTTAGGGTTTCAAGGTTTAGGGTTTCGGGTTTAGGGAGCAGTACATGTGGCCACATTCCTGAGTCTACGGAGACGTCTCTGATCAGGTATCTGTCTTCCAAGGGCGACTTCGAAGCCATGCAGGTGGAGGGTGGCTCTTTCGGGCTTGCCTCTATGTATTTATAGGGCTCTTCAGGGAGGGTTTAGGGTTTAGGGCTTAGGGCTTAGGGCTTAGGGCTTAGGGCTTAGGGCTTAGGGCTTGGTTTAGGTTTTAGGGGGGTTCAAGGGGGGTATTTAACCCCCAAGTACTCCTCACTAGAACCCCATAACCTAAAGCTCTTGGGCCCTCAAAACCCTATTTGGTACCAGGGTCCTTGGAGCCTTAGGGTAAGGCTTTAAGGCTTTGGGGTTTAGGGTTCAGGGGTAGCTAACACACCAGGCGTGGGAACGTGCAGTAGAGCCGCCTGCTGCTATGAATCGAAGTCGGCCGCCTACGGGGTGGGGCCCCCTTACTATACTAACTGTAGTTAAGGGACTTATAACCTAACTTAGGGTCCTTATAACCCAATTTAGGGCCCTTGTAACTCTACTTATAACTAGGGGGCCCCACCCTGTAGCTATTATAGTCAGCCCTGAAATCTCCTCAAAAAACCTCAACCTTCTTCAAAACCTGTTAAAAAGAGCCTTGCTTTACCATGGAACCCCTTGAACTCTAGTCCACTCGGTAGGCCCTTGGGACGTTTGTGTTTTCTGCCCTTGGGACATGTGTATTTTCCCCGAGTGGGTTTAAGAGGCTCATATTCAGGAATACCAAAGCCCTAAACCCCTAAACGCCTGAAGCCCTAAACCCTAAGCCCTTTTTCAGAGGTTTTTAGGGCCATCCTAGACCCTGGACCCTAAACCCTAAACCCTAAACTCTAAACCCTAAACCCCCTAATCCAGGGCCTCCTGCAGCTCGGCGTACCTGCCGGTGGCCGCGATAGCCTCGACGAGGTCGAGTCCGAGCTCCCAGACTTCGGCGTGGTGTCGGGAGGGGGTTTAGGGTTTAGGGTTTAGGGTTTAGTTTAGGGTTTAGGGTTTAGGGTTTAGGGTAATTCGGGGTCCCCTTTTGAAGAAGGTTCCTAAGCTCAGGATACTTTCAGCCTTATAGCATTTTGGGGTCTATAGGGTTCAGCTTATGAGCCACATCGACAACCGACCCCCAAAGCGTTTCCTGCAGGCCATGTCACGACTTAAAATAAAAATGCAAAGGGCAGAAGGCCCTTGGAGACCCCCCCCCCGTCAGCATACGCGGTTTAGGGGTGTTAGTGTTTTTAGGGTTTATAGGGTTCTCAGGGTTTACAGGGGGTTCGGTTTTTGTTAGGAAACATGAAGGCGTGCGGACAACGTGCCTAAAGCCACCCCCTTTCGTCCTAAACCCTAAACCTAAAACCCGAATCCCCAAACCTTAAAACTCAAAACTCAAATCCCAAAACAAATTTGTGCCGTTTAAACCCTAAACCTTGAGTACAGCTAGTGACCTTCAAGTGACCCTAAGGTCCTGTACCCATCCGGTGTATACTTGGGCCCTAAAGCTACCATGTGGGAACCCTTTTAAGGCCCAAGTATATATTCTCTACAGGCACGTTAATTAACCCTTTGGGCTTAGGGTTTAGGGTATTTGTGTATGTTAAACCCTAAGCCTTGAGTACAGCGAGTATCCTTTGAGTGAGGCAGCCACCCATCTTGTACGCCGCGCGGGACGGGCACCGAGAAGCCGTCAAGCTCCTCGTGCAGTTCGAGGCCAGTAGCGATGTTTTTTGGGGCTCAGGCTTCAGGGGTTGAGTATGGGGAAGCCCTAAACCCTAAACCCTAAACCCTAAACCCTAAACCCTAAACCCTAAACCCTAAACCCTAAACCCTAAAACCGTAAACCGTAAACCGTAAACCGTAAACCGTAAACCGTAAACCGTAAACCGTAAACCCTAACCCTAATCCCTAAACCCTAAACCGCAGAGCATAGGACGCTTGATCCCGGAGAGCGCAGTTTTGAGGAATCCAGGAATCGCGTACAGTTTTTTTGTTTAGCCTGGCGGGCTTTATCGGATGGAGGGCTGCGAGTTGTCTGCAAAGGTTGGGGTTTAGGGTTTCGGGTTTCGGGTTTAGGGTTACCTGCGCAAGGGCAACATGGAGATCTTCAGCTGTGAATGTCCCTTGAGCAAGTGAGCAAGCGTCATGAAAGCTGTGCCGCAAGGCCGACGTCAACGAAGTTGGCGGCATCCCCTTTGAAACCGCCTTGCATGTTGCGGTGCAGTCCAGCGCTCGGTGCGCTCGTTTGTTGCTTCTTCCTTTCCTGCACTTGGGACGAAGGCTGGGTAGCCCAGTGGTAACCCTTTTCCCCTTTGTTTTTTGGTTCAAGGTTCCGCTATTAAAGTAACCAAGCCCCAAAAAGGGTGCCCGTATTATAAGATGGTTACTGGGCTACCAAGAAGGATCCTAAAGGGTTTAGGGTTTAGGGTTTAGGGTTTAGGGTTTAGGGTTTAGGGATCATACAGATCCCACCCCATAGCCCAAACCCGTAAGCCTGCACCCCAAGCCCCTACCCAGCTGTACCCTAAACCCTAAACCCTAAGCCCTAAGCCCTAAACCCTAAACCCTAAACCCTAAACCCTAAACCCTAAGGTTCTTTGTTTTACATGGTAAGGTCATATAGACCTCTAACCCTAAACCCTAAGCCCTGCAGACGCGTTCATCCTAAAGCCTAAGCCCTAAACCCTAACCCCTAACCCCTAACCCCTAAACCCTAAGCCCTAAGCCCTAAGCCCTAAACCCTAAACCCTAAACCCTAAACCCTAAACCCTAAATCAGATCGATTCCCCCATGTTCCCAGCTCCCTTCTGAGGAGCCACAAGTTGAAGGTGGTCCAAATGCTGCTGGCCCGGGTCTTACATGGGGTTTAGGGTTTAGGGTTTAGGGTTTAGGGTTTAGGGATGTTGGGTTTTGGGGGTTTAGGGATGTTGGGTTTTGGGGGCTTAGGGGTGTTGGGTTTTGGGGGCTTAGGGGTGTTGGGTTTTGGGGGCTTAGGGGCGAGGGTTGAGGGGCGAGGGTTGAGAACTTAGGAGGTTTAGGCTTTGGGGTTTCGGCTTATGGCGGTTTTGGGGGTTGTGGGCTTGGGGGCAGTGGGGCTTGTAGGGGGGAATGCTAACGATGACAGGGTTGACGGGTTTAAAGACTACCTTAGGGTAGCTTCATGGTCCTTTAGTATGGTCCAGTAAAAGGGGACCCCATACATCAGGACCCTGTAAAGAAGATAAGGGGCCATATTAAGGGAATTTAACGGACCGTGTAACTACCCATAGAGACTGGTGGCAAGCTACAGCCTAGTGCCTAAACCAGAATGTTATTCGGTTCTAGGGTTGGGGTTTTGCCTATAGCTGTTATAGGGATATAGGAGTTGTAGGGTTTATGCGGGTACATGTAGGGTTTGTAGGGTGTTACGGTCGTGGTCTTAGCGTTTATTCTCGAACTACAATCATGGCTGTCCGCAGCGAAAGCACCGTCCGTAGCACAGCCCGTAGCTCCATTCGACACATCAGGTGGTTCACGCACAAGACCCCCCCAGAGCCCCCGCAAGCAAAAAACAAAAGACACCAATGGCTTGTGGGTTTAGAGTTCTGTAGGGCCTACACAGTTTATGGTGGTTACAGGGATTGTTGGGTTTTTGTAGGGTTCTGAAGGGGGGTGGGGTTCAAGGGGGGTAAGGAACCCAACCCCCATCAACTCCCCGCCCTTCAAATTAACCCTAAACCCTAATCCCAAACCCTAAACCCTAAACCCTAAACCCTAAACCCTAAACCCCCAGCCCTAAACTAGCTGTGGTATTTTTGGGGTTCACTTCACCCGAGCCAGCCCACATCGCCTAGTCCCTTCGTGCAGACCCTCAGATGAAGGATGCTGGAGGCTCCTTGCCCTATCTCGAAGCTTCAGGTTAGTATTCTAGGATCCCAAGAGTTTTGGTTATCAGGGTTCAGGGCTCAGGGCTCAGGGCTCAGGGTTCCGGGTTTAGGGTTTAGGGTTTAGGGTTTAGGGTTTAAAGTTTAGGATTTAGGGTTTAGGGTTTAGGGCCGCTAGCAAACCCCACCCCAGCGGACCCCTCCGTTTGGGCTCGGGCAGATTGTGAGGCTGCGGGGTAGTACAGGGGCTTAATTAGTGCGTAGGGGTTTCGGGTTTAGGGTTTATAGGGTTTAGGGTTTAGGGTTTAGGGTTTAGGGTTTAGGGTTTAGGGTTTAGGGTTTAGGGTTTAGGGTTTAGGGTTTAGGGTTTAGGGTTTAGGCGAAGCCGTAAAGTGTGGGAAGGACGCAATGAAGGGCAGCTAGAGTCTCAGTGTGGAAGCTCAAAGGATCGGTCCGACTTTGGGGGGGGGGGGCGGCTGTGTGCATCCCCTCTTAATGCACCTATTCTTAGAGTATCAGCTGCCCCAAATAGCAATCCTAAACCCGAAATCCTGAACACCCGAACCCTCACACCCAAAACTCTAAGCTCCAAACCCCAAAACCCTGAGCCCTAAACCCTAAACCCTGAGCCCTAAACCCTAAACCCTAAACCCTAAACTCTAAGTTGCCCCGATGTGTGCGTTTTCTTTCTTCCGCGGGCCAGGGCAAGGACCCCTACACCGAGCAGCGCGCGAGGGCGCGGCCTGGGCCGTAGTTTGACAACCCGCAACTTAGGGTTTCGGGTTTAGGGTTTAGGGTTTAGGGTTTAGGGTTTAGGGTTTAGGGTTTAGGGTTTAGGGTTTAGGGCTCAGGGTAGGGTTGAGAGACTTTGGTCCGCTTTGGGGATCTCAATATCCTGCAGTGGTTATGGGGTACCATGGAAGAAGGCCCCTTCCGCACGGGGGCCCTACGCGCCAGTGCCAAGACCCCAAGAAACCCGAGGGTACTTTTAACCCCAATCATAGCCGTGCTAAAAAAACCCCTAAGTCTCCTAAGTAGGTTATAAGTAGATGTATAATTGTGGTCATAAGTAGGTGATAAGTAGATGTAGAATTGTGGTTATAAGCCCCCTAAGTCTCCTAAGGAGGTTAAGAAGTAGATGTAGAATTGTGGTTCTAAGTACCCATGAACCTCCAAGTAAAGCCGAAGCCAGCTCTCTTCCCGTCTGAGATTGCCTCGCTGCAGACGCTCATTACTGCCGCTGCGGAGGTGGACATGAGGCCAGGCCGCTCAAGGCTTCTATTTCCCTAAGGATCCATGTACCTATATAGTATATACTTGGGCCTGAAAGGGGCTCCTATATAGTAGCTTTAGGGCCCAAGTATCTACTATATAGGTACATGGATCCTTTGGGTTTGCTTAAGAACCCCCCCGAACAATTTGAAATAATAATCCCTCTATTGCCCTTATAAGGTATCGTATGTTTGTGTTTTTTTGGGTTCTTAAGCAAATGGCAGCAGGGCCATCCCCAGCGACTTTATTTCCAAAAAAGTCCAGTTGTAGTACCAGTATAAAGAGCTAAGGGTTTTGGGTTTTGGGCTTTGGGTTTAGGGATTTTGGTTTAGGGCAATGCGTGAGCCTGAGAAAGTTTCCAAGATAATTCCCCTTTCAGTGCTACAAGTTCTGCGTGACAAGGCCTCTGAAACCATGCTAGATAGTTTTTTGGGGTGCCTGCTTCCGCCTGAACCCTAAACCCGACTAGGGTCTAGGGTTTAGGGTTTAGGGTTTAGGGTTCAGGGTTTTGGGTTCCAACAACACCATAATCAAGGAACCTATAGCATTACGGTTTGGGGTTTAGGGTTTGGGGTTTAGGGTTTAGGGTTTAGGGTTTAGGGTTAGCAGCCAGAGTTCAGAGCCGAAGTTGCAGGGACACCTGCGAGCAAGCGCCCATCCATGTCGCGACCTACTTCGGCAGGGCCAGACCTGCTGGTTTACAGGTTTATCGGGCTTGGGGTTTAGGGTTTGGGGTTCAGGGTTTAGGGTTTAGGGTTTAGGGTTTAGGGTTGAGGGTTTAGGGTTTAGGGTTTAGGGTTTAGGGTTTAGGGGTAGGGTTGAATGAGCCAACCCACCTCACGAACTCCAAAGCCCACCTTTCTTTGTAGGTGATAGCTTGAGACGACCTAATCCTAAACTCCGAACTCTCCAACTCTCCTTTAGGAAGTTCTTTAGTAACCGACAACAAAGCAGGTTGTTTTTTTGTTGGGCGGGGGGGGGGGGGGCAGGGGCATGGACCCAAGGGAATCCCCCAAAAAACCCTATAGAGCCCATTTGGTTCGCGCAGTTGCCCTAAACCCTGAACCCTAAACCCTAAACCCTAAACCCTAGACCACCTGGTTTGACTTTGAGCTGAGAAATCTAACCCCCTGTGTTCGACCTGTGCCATGAGGACATGGGAAGGGTGATAGGGTGGTTGGGTGATAGTGCCAGCCCATCCGAAGGTCAGGATTTAGGGCGCGCTAGCCCGCAGGCTGCGATTGGGCCAGGAACGCTCAACTGTTTAGGGTTTAGGGTTTACTAAGCCCAAAACCTAATCCTTAACCCCAAAAGCCAGGAAGAGGTCGTGAGGGCACTTTTGGCGGCAAGAGCAGATGCCCAGATCTCAGCTTGGGGCAGCTCGAGGAGCAGGGTCTTGAAGGGTTTAGGGTTTGGGGTTCTCTAGCCTTAAACCCTGAACCCAAACACCCTAAACCCCTAAACCCCAAAACAAACCCAAAGACCCAAACACCCTGAACCCCTAAACCCTAAACCCCCAAAACACTGATCCCCTAAACCCTAACACCCAAACACATTAGACCCTAAACCCTAAACCTGAAGGTTTTGGGTGTTTGGATTTAGGGTTTTGAGGTGTTTTGGGTTTTGCTTGTTGTGGGGGGTGTTTTGGGTGTTTGGGCTTTTGGGATTTGGGGTTTTGGGGTTTTGGGTAGTTGGATTTAGGGTTTAAGGGTGGTTGGGCTTAGGGAAAAGCGATTTAGGGTTTTGGGGTTAAGGGGTTAAGGGTTTTGAGCGTTTAGGGCGTCTGGATTTCGGGCTGGAGGGCTCCCACTGTGAGACCAACCCTTTTGGGGTGTAGGGTGCACTGCAAGGCCTAGAGACTAGACCTTGAAACCCGACACCCTAAATCCCAAAACCCGGTATCACACGCAAGTTTGGTGGCTCAATCCGAGGCCTCCACGCCCAATTGCAGTTTACCAGTTTACGGGTTTAGGTGTAGCGTTTAGGGCTTAGGCCTTCTTATCCCTCCCCCCCCACCACCACCAAATATGCAAAACAACCGGAAGGTAAAAAAGCACACGAATTGCAAACCAAGAAAGGCAACACAATGTGCTTAAGCACAGTAATTAAGCAAAGCAGGCAAAGCAAGTATGTGGAAGAGACAGGATGTGATTGGGCCATTTCTTGCTCGTGGCTTCGTACGCCACTTCTTGCAAAAACCAAATGAGCAGAATGTTTCGAGACACGTGTTCTTTTACTTTTTGCAGAGTAGTTCAGAAACAACATTTCTTGCCGCACATACTTTCGTCCGTGTCACTTTCAGTTTTTACAAAGTCAGTACACCTCCAAAACCTAACTACATTTCTAAAACACAACTTAGGCACATGGTTTTCACAATGTTTTCTGTTGCCTGATTGGGCCACGAAGCACGGCAGCCGAAGCTGCAAGAACCGGCCTTCGCCTCTGACCTGGACTATGTGACACGCAAGAAACATCGCCTGAAGCCTAAATAGAGTTTAGGGTTTACGTAGGGTTTAGGGCTTAGGGCTTAGGGCTTAGGGCTTAGGGCTTAGGGCTTAGGGTTCAGGGTCTAGGGTTTAGGGTTTAGGGTTCAGTTTAGGGCACAAGCGTCCATCAGCTGGCCATGGTTTGGGTTTTTTTTCACAGCAAGGGCTACGAAAACTGTACGCGAGTCGGAAGCCTGCTTGCAAAGACGCCGGTCTTCTTTCCAGGATGCCCAGAAATGCCCTTGTTCCCTTGTTTTTCGGCGGGGGGGGGGGGGGGGGGGGGGGTTCCGTTCCCTTACGAACCCCTTTTAAGAAAAAAAAAGAAACGGGCACCCGTTTTAAAATGCTTATCCTAGGTTACTGGGCAACCCAGCTTTGCATGCTAACTTGACAGAACGGCGTAAGTGCTTCTTTCTTCCACTACCAATGCAATCAGTCCGCGGCCGGCTCGGAGGCCCGGCGTCGTGAAAGAGGAGGCGCCCCTCGCGGGCCAGCTGCTCTTGGCATACGCTGCCGCAGGAGCTGGAGCTGGTCGGCCCGCTCTTCGGCACCGGCTCCTGCTGGAGCCACCTCGCACCTGCGCAGAGCTTTCGGATCTGGATTTGGAGGACCTCTTCCAGCGTCGGGACGCCCTGACGCCGGCCGACCTGCTGCCACTGGAGCCCCCGAGACCCTGGGCTGTGTGCAACACCTTCCAAGAGCTGCTACAGGATCAGGGACACACACACTCCACAGTCTTCTCTCTTCGCTCCCTCCCCAACAACCCCCAAAGAAACCCCCTGACAAGCCCCAAATAAGCCCTCAACAAGCCCCAAAAAACCTCAATCAACCCAAATAGACCCTAAGTAGACCCTAAACACACCCCAAACGCACCCAAACCCAAACCCCCTAACTAAACCCCAACTGAACCCAAACCCTCAACCAGCCCCAAATGAGCCCCTTGCGATCGGAAGGCTGTGGCTGAGAACATCCGTGGACAAACGCCACGGAAGGCAGCTAGTACTTGGAGGGTCATGGTCATGGTACTTATTGACCAATTCTCACTCTAAACCCTGAACCCTAAACCCTAACCCCTACCCTAACCCCTAAACCCTTCTAACCCAAATTGTAACCATGTCAGGGACACTTAAGGGCTTATCAGTGAGTTATAAGTACAGTTGTACTTGGTTAGCAAGTTCCATGCACCTCCAGCTAGTAGTAGCTCTCTTGATGCCTGAGCTCTTGCAGGGTTTTTTTGGGGTCTAGAGGTTTTAGGGTTTAGGGTTCAGAGTTTTAGGGTTGTAGGGTTAAGGGTTTAGCGTTTTTGTTTTTACATATACATACACATATATATATATATATACATATGTTATATTTATTTATTTATTTATAGGGTTTAGGTTTAGTTTCAGCAAAATACTATAGCCCTACACCCCATGGTTTGGTCCCCTGAACTGACTCTGACTCTGGCTTCCAGTCTGCCAGCCGTTGGGCTAGAGGCTACTTGGAGCTTCATCCCTTAAGTGTCCTAATGTGGTTATAGGGTTTAGGGTTTAGGGTTTAGGGTTTAGGGTTAGGGTTTAGGGTTTAGGGTATAGTTGCAAGTACAGTGCCCTCAACCCGAGACACCCTATTCTCCAAACCCTAAGCCCTAAACCTTAAACCCCAAACCCTAAACCCTAAACCCTAAACCCCACCCCTCAACACCGAAACCCCCAAAGCCCAGTAACAGTACCACATGAGCGGCTCTTTGCAACCATAGGTGGCCGAGCGCCTCGGCTACACCACCATCTGCCAGATCATCGATAAGGAAATCGAGAGACGCGAAGCACCTCGTCCTTCAGATGTCGCAATCTAGGCTTGGGGTCTTAGGGTTTGGGGTGTCGGGTTTCAGGGTCCAGGGTTTTTAGGGTCGGGCCTTATGGCTTCTCGTGTGCTACCTTTGCCTAGAACCCCCCCCCCGTGTGTGAGCAAAACCGGGTCTATTTAGAAGCTGGGGCTTGTGATTTATAATACAGGTCCATATACCTAAATGTAATAAACCTAGAAGAGCACGGCTTCTAAATAGACCCTACGGTCGGATTTCAAAAGGACGTTAGCAGAAATTAATAATTTTAATAATTTTAATAATTTTAATAATTTTAATAATTTTATTAATTTTAATAATTTTATTAATTTTAATAATTTTAATAATTTTAATATTTTTAATAATCCTGAGAGGCTCCCGGAAAATTAAAATTATTAACAATATTAAAATTATTAAAATTATTAATTTCTGCCCTGAGAGGCTCCCGGAAAATTAAAATTATTCAAAATATTAAAATTATTAAAATTATTAAAATTATTAAAATTATTAATTTCTGCCCTGAGAGGCTCCCGGAAAATTAAAATTATTCAAAATATTAAAATTATTAAAATTATTAAAATTATGAAAATTATTAATTTCTGCCATGAGAGGCTCCCGGAAAATTAAAATTATTAAAATTATTAAAATTATTAAAATTATTAAATTATTAAAATTATTAATTTCTGCCCTGAGAGGCTCCCGGAAAATTAAAATTATTAAAATTATTAAAATTATTAAAATTATTAAAATTATTAAAATTATTAAAATTATTAAAATTATTACAATTATTAATTTCTGCCCTGAGAGGCTCCCCGAAAATTAAAATTATTAAAGTTATTAAAATTATTAAAATTATTAAAATTGTTAAAATTATTAAAATTATTAAAATTATTAAAATTATTAATTTCTGCCCTGAGAGGCTCCCGGAAAATTAAAATTATTAAAATTATTAAAATTATTAAAATTATTAAAATTATTAAAATTATTAAAATTATTAAAATTATTAAAATTATTAAAATTATTAATTTCTGCCCTGGGGGGCTCCCGGAAAATTAAAATTATTAAAATTATTAAAATTATTAAAATTATTAAAATTATTAAAATTATTAAAATTATTAATTTCTGCCCTGAGAGGCTCCCGGAAAATTAAAACTATTAAAATTATTAAAATTATTAAAATTATTAAAATTATCAAAATTATCAAAATTATTAAAATTATTAATTTCTGCCCTGAGAGGCTCCCGGAAAATTAAAATTATTAAAATTATTAAAATTATTAAAAATATCAATTTCTGCCCTGGGAGGCTCCCGGAAAATTAAAATTATTAAAATTATTAAAATTATTAAAATTATTAAAATTATTAATTTCTGCCCTGAGAGACTCCCGGAAAATTAAAATTATTAAAATTATTTGAATTATTAAAATTATTAACATTATTGAAATTATTAAAATTATTAAAATTTTAATTATTAATGGTTTCATAATTTTAATAATTTTAATATTTTTTCTAATTTTAATTTTCAGGGAGCCTCTCAGGGCAGAAAATAATAATTTTAATAATTTTAATAATTTTAACAATTTTAATAATTTTAATATTTTTTATAATTTTAATTTTCCGGGAGCCTCTCAGGGCAGAAATTAATAATTTTAATAATTTTAATAATTTTAATAATTTTAATAATTTTAATTTTCGGGGAGCCTCTCAGGGCAGAAATTAATAATTTTAATAATTTTTTATAATTTTAATAATTTTTAATAATTTTAATAATTTTAATTTTCTGGGAGCCTCTCAGGGCAGAAATTAATAATTTTAATAATTTTAATAATTTTAATTTTCCGGGAGCCTCTCAGGGCAGAAATTAATCATTTTAATAATTTTAATAATTTTAATATTTTTTCTAATTTTAATTTTCAGGGAGCCTCTCAGGGCAGAAAATAATAATTTTAATAATTTTAATAATTTTAATAATTTTTAATAATTTTAATAATTTTAATAATTTTAATTTTCCGGGAGCCTCTCAGGGCAGAAATTAATAATTTTAATAATTTTAATAATTTTAATAATTTTAATAATTTTAATAATTTTAATAATTTTAATTTTCGGGGAGCCTCTCAGGGCAGAAATTAATAATTGTAATAATTTTAATAATTTTAATAATTTTAATAATTTTAATAATTTTAATAATTTCAATAATTTTAATTTTCCGGGAGCCTGTCAGGGCAGAAATTAATAATTTTAATAATTTTAATATTTTTTCTAATTTTAATTTTCAGGGAGCCTCTCAGGGCAGAAAATAATAATTTTAATAGTTTTAATAGTTTTAATAATTTTAATAATTTTAATAATTTTAATAATTTTAATAATTTTAATAATTTTAATTTTCCGGGAGCCTCTCAGGGCAGAAATTAATAATTTTAATAATTTTAATAATTTTAATAATTTTAATAATTTTAATAATTTTAATTTTCCGGGAGCCCCCCAGGGCAGAAATTAATAATTTTAATAATTTTAATAATTTTAATATTTTTAATAATTTTAATAATTTTAATAATTTTAGTTTTCGGGAGCCTCTCAGGGCAGAAATTAATAATTTTAATAATTTTAATAATTTTAATAATTTTAATAATTTTTGTACTTTTTTAGCTTAGAATCAGTAAAAACTGAAAATTTGCTCAAAGAATCCTACAACATAGTAAAAAATCGCAAAAATTGACCAATTTTGGAACCCCCTTTTATATAAAATCAAATAAAAAACGGTACGTGAGAATGCCTTCAGATGCAGGAGAAAAGAGTACCCAGAAACCGCAGTATCATCTCCAAAAAATGACAAAAACACACCGTACTCTCCTACGCGATCCTACGCGCTATCCTGCATTCCTTCCTCTTTGTCTTTGGTTCGCAAAAGAAAGGAACGGCTACCAGCCTCCCTCCCGACTTACATCTTTACATTCTCTTGTTTCGTCCTGCTCACCCGGAAAGAAGGTCTGCCTCCAGTCTTTCCTCGCCTCCCTGCTCACTATTATGAGTTCCTTTCACTTCTCTTCTGTTGCTTACATTCTTCTCAAAAGTGTGAAAGGTGCGGGGGACATCCCTTTCACTTTGTCTCTTCTGGGGAAATTCCCAATTGCAGGAGGCTCTCTCTCCTTGTCTTTGTTCTGTGTTCATATAGGGAATGAAGATAGAAGATGAATAAATAAGAAAGAATCAAGTCTATAATGTCCTCTATCCGTGTCTCTTGTGATTTCTTCAATTCCTATCTCTGCAGATTCTTCAAAATGGAAGGCGGACTTCTTCCTCCAACCAAAAGCGACCTTCTCAAAAAGAAGACAAGAGACGAACATCAATCACCGGAACCTGACTCCTAATCTCCTGTGTTTCCTTGCCTCTTTCCTCGCTATTCTCTCTTCCTTTCTTCTCTCCCGGTGCTTACATTCCCATCAACATGAAAATTGAGGGGGCAGCGCATCCCTTTCCTTTCCCCATCAAAGAAAGGCTGCCTTCCTATCCGCGTATGTTCTTCCCTCTTCCTTCCGAAAAGACTATAAGAGGTAGGGGTAAACAGAATGAAAGAGGAGTCTCCTGTTGCTTTCCGACTACCTTCTCACCACAAAAAGGAACCTTCCCACTCTTCCCTACTTTCTTTCTTTTATCTTTTTGCACTTTACGTTTCCCGCTGAGAAAATGAGACGTTTCCCACTGAGAAAATGAGACAATGATGACAATAAGGAAAAAAGATCACCTGCCTGTATTTTCAGACCTGTCCGCTGCATCTTTTCCCTTTACATCGCAGATTGAAGGAAAGCAAAAAAAGGGAAGAATCCCTTTCCCTACCTTTCCCAGTTCATTCCTTGTGCTTTCCATGTTCTTTGGAATTGCTTTGTTCTTCAGCAAGGAAAAGCGCAACTTCCCTCTCAATTTCATGTTTCCATTTCTCCGATGTCTTTTTCATTCAAGAAGCAAGCGGAGGGGCTGCCTCCTGTGTTTCCTTGCCTCTTTCCTCGCTATTCTCTTTTCCTTTCTCTTCTCTCTTGGTGCTTACATTCTTATGAAAAACGTGAAAGTTGTGGGGGCATCCCTTTCGCTTTCTCTCTTCTGGGGAAATTCCCAATTGCAGGGGGCTCTCTCTCCTTGTCTGTCTTCTTTTCTCATACATAGGGAAAGGAGAAAGAAGATGAAGAACTAGGAAAGAATCATTTCCACACATTCCTCTATTCCTACTGTCCGGAGATTGGCAAGCTTTCGGAAGCTCTGGTCTCTAGTCACGCCTGACCAAAGTCAACTTCCCGTGCGTGAGGGCCATATGTGAGGGGCCAGGAGGGGGGCAGAAAGTCCGGAATATGGTAGTGTTTCGAGTTTCAAATTCGTTTCCATAGTTTCAAATTAGTCTCAAGTCAGTTTCAAACTAGTTTCAAAATCCAGTTGAAATATCGCTGTTAAGGAGGAGCTGCAATTTCTGTCCGCGCTTGTTGAAAACCAGAACTTCTGCATGTTTTGCAATTGCGCGTAGAAAAACGCAGTTCCCCTTAACAACGAATTCGCAACTGGATTTTGAAACTGTTTTGCAACTAGTCTGAAACTACAGAAACGAATTTGAAACTTGAAGAACGCAGCATTTCTGCTCCCTGGCGCTTGGCCACGCCCAAGCAAGAGGAGGCTAGAAGCCGCGGCTCGCGAAACCAGCAACAACTCTTGCCAAGGCAGCCACGCAATCACAAGTCAGTAAATTATCTTGTCTGAGACTGTGTCTCTTCTGAGTTGTTCTATTCCTTTCTCTGCATCCTTTCTTCTTCTCACTTGTCCTTTCACTTTTCTTTTGTCTCTTCTCACTCCAACCAAAAGGGAAATGGCAAGGGAGTCATATAGGGAAAGGAGACAACGTGAAGAAATAAGAAAGAATCATTTCCATATTGTCCCCTATTCCTGTCTCTAAATCTGCAGATTTCTCAGAATGGAAGGAGGGCTTCTTTCTCCCTCTCACTTTTCCTTTCGCTTTTTTCTATATTTTCTCACTCCAACCAAGCAGACAAGGGAGAGGGGTGAGAGATAGAACGCCCTTTACCTTCTCAAAACATAGAGAGGTGACGAAAATCAATCACGGAAACCTATCCTGCCTTCCTTCCTCTTTGTCTTTGGTTCGGAAAAGAAAGGAACGGCTACCAGCCTCCCTCCCGACTTACATCTTTACATTCTCTTGTTTCGTCCTGCTCAACCGGAAAGAAGGTCTGCCTCCAGTCTTTCCTCGCCTCCCTGCTCACTATTATGAGTTCCTTTCTCTTCTCTTCTGTTGCTTACATTCTTCTCAAAAGTGTGAAAGGTGCGGGGGACATCCCTTTCACTTTGTCTCTTCTGGGGAAATTCCCAATTGCAGGAGGCTCTCTCTCCTTGTCTTTGTTCTGTGTTCATATAGGGAATGAAGATAGAAGATGAATAAATAAGAAAGAATCAAGTCTATAATGTCCTCTATCCGTGTCTCTTGTGATTTCTTCAATTCCTATCTCTGCAGATTCTTCAAAATGGAAGGCGGACTTCTTCCTCCAACCAAAAGCGACCTTCAAAAAGAAGACAAGAGACGAACATCAATCACCGGAACCTGACTCCTAATCTCCTGTGTTTCCTTGCCTCTTTCCTCGCTATTCTCTCTTCCTTTCTTCTCTCCCGGTGCTTACATTCCCATCAACATGAAAATTGAGGGGGCAGCGCATCCCTTTC